TAAAAATGCCTACTGGCAATATTAAGTGTTTCAACAACTGAGTCATAAAACAATAAATCATTACTATGTTGTGAATTAATATCACAACATATTAGGCGTCTTTGGGCAGTGCAATGTTTCCCAGCAACCATCAGTCTAACATAATACTTCTGGAAATCTTCCACGGTTAATTTAGTCCAGTCTAATCTTCCTGTGTTAATGCTGTTAGCCTCCGTAGTTAACACTGGTAAGTTTTAACATTAAAGACTCGTCATCGCATCCAGCAGTAATAATATATAATAATAATAATAATGCCTGTTTCTCCTGCTTCCTGTCTGTCAGTCCAAAGAGTACAGGACTCAGAACGAGCAGCTGGTTCTGGTGAACACCAGTCTGGGCGCGGAGGTGAACAAGCTGCAGAAGCAGCTGGAGCAGGTCCGGAGTCAGCAGGGCGAAGGAGGCCAGCTGACGTCTCTGCAGGAGGAGCTGGAGAGGCTGAGGGAGGAGCTGCAGGAGGCGTCGGCCCAGAGGAAGAAGCTGGAGGAGGAGCACAGCAACGAGAAACTGGGGCTGCAGCAGGTGAGGGCGGGAGGGGACCCGCGTGATGCTAACAGCTGATCCAGGGTGAAGTCTGCTGTTAAAGTCCTGAGGGCCCCAGAGGCCCCAGACTCTGTGTAAGATCACTGTAAATCCCTGTGTACAGTCAGCAAAACTAAGTCTGGAAACACATCGAGGCCCACAGCTGACCAAGTGGCCCCGGGGCCCTCTAGCAGGTTTATGTGGCCCTGAAGTGTCAGATCAGCATGGAGACGGCGTGAGGCTGTCCGCAGAAATAAATCAAATACTAGATCGTGTTTCTTTCACCACCATCAGAACGATGAGAGCGACACTGTGTGACGCTCGAGTCGAGCTCTAATAAAGATATTTTAAACTTTATCATTCATTTAATAAATGTAATACTTTTCATAAAGTCCTTAGAGGGAATCTCAGTGGTCCAGCTGGTCCAGAGGATCTGTTGGGACTTCAGGTGAAGCAGAATCAGGTTTATTGTATATGAGACTAATTCTGAACCTGCTAAACTGCACAGGAACGTCGATGTTAACTAACTGTTGAGCTTCCTTCTTCTTCTTCGGTGGTATCACTCTGGATGGATGTTTTTGTCTCCGCCTTCAGAGGGTGGAGGAGCTGGAGAGGGAGAACACTCTGCTGAAGAGCGAGAAGGAGGAGATGAACCGGAGGATCCTGCAGCAATCAAAGAGCATCGAAGGTGAGCCCTGAACACGCCCACCTGAGAACACCTCTGGTCTCTCAGGTTCCATCTCAGCTGACTGAACCGCGTTTCAAACAGCACGCTGACCCTCACAGGCTCCCGTACGCTGACAGGTTGTGAACGGCGGTGTGTGTGTGTGTGTGTGTGTGTTTCAGAGGACGACAGCAGTCTGGCTCAGAGGGAGTCGTCTCTGCAGGCTGAGCTGGACCAGGAGAGGCAGCGCTACCAGAACCTGCTCAAAGAGTTCTCCAGGCTGGAGCAGAGATACGAAAACCTGAAGGAGGAGGTGTCCCTGGCCAAGGTGAGCCCCGAGGAAATACCTCATTTGCATATTAGAAATAGTAATAGTAAAGCTGGGGTAAATAACTCTTTGACTGTGGTGTCTGCACCTAAAACTTTCTCTGGAAAATCATCTGAGCTGTCGGAGGCGACGCTCTGGAGCCAGCTGGTTAACTTCTTCAGGCTCATTCACTCGCCGGGGGACACGTCCCCACCACTGTCTGAATTTAGCTTTCAGTAAGAAATGTTAGATAACAAATAAAAGTTCTGTGAGAAAGATTTTTCAGTTTAAATATAAACAGATCTGCTCTGTCAGAAGGCGGGACTGCTGCTCACTGCTTTAGGCACTTAAATAGTTTATTATTCACCGGCCGTCTGAACTTTGTTTCCCTTCGTTTAAAAAGACATTTCCACCATAAACTGGTGCAGAAAATGTCTTCTCTGATAAGGAGGAGTAAAGCTTTGCATCAGGCTGTAGGGAGAAGTTTAACCTCAGGGTGGAGCTGCTGAACCACACGCCGCTAGTCTTCAGTAAACATGCAGCTCCTCTCTTCCTCCCGTCATCCTCCAGTTCCACCCCGGCCACCGGAGGAACCCGTCCAATCAGAGCAGCCTGGAGTCGGACTCCAACTACCCGTCCGTCTCCACCTCGGAGGTCGGAGACACCGAGGACGCCGTCCAGCTGGTGGAGGTGAGTGTGAGCGGTGGGGCGAATGAAGGCGGGGCCCGCCGCTGAAGCCGGCGCGCTTCAACATCTTCTGTGACTGTTCCCTGTGCAGGAGCTGGGCGTGGAGAAGGCCGCCATGGACATCAGTCTGTTCATGAAGCTGCAGAAGAGAGTCCGGGAGCTGGAGCTGGAGAGGAAGAGGCTGCAGGTCAGCGTGGACAAGATGGAGGAGCTGGCCCGGAGCAAGGTGACACTCTCGATTCTATTCTAGTGAGCAGAAGCTCAGGTGCTTCCCCTCTGCACGCCACTGAGGTGCTCACACTGTTCTTCTTTAAAGGGCTCCGAGGCCAAGAGTCCCGCCTCTGAGCAGGAGACCGCAGACCTGGCCTACAACAACCTCAAGGTACACACACACTTCAGCTCCTCCGCTGGCTGCATACAACAAAATAATGTAACTAGTAACTCTGAGAGGAGGGCAGGGGTCAGCCGGTAGCTGCCAGTACACCATCCTAACTGTGAGCAGCTCTAGTCTGACAGCAGGACATATAAACTGTTATTCTGTGGAGAGTAGTGCCGCTGAAATACAGCAGGACCCAAACTAGGTTTCAGTTTCATGAATAATGATCAGGAACGATGGATTTTACACGACTCCTCTTTGTTTATCTGCGTTGATTTTTATATTCGAATAGACAAAATATTCCTTTAAAACCTGAGGTGAATAACGGCTCAGTTTGCTGAAGGATTTCTTTCAAAGTGCTTGTCTGTCTGGATCACGTGTCCTAAACTTGTGGCCCCTGGCTGCGTGCCCCTGCAGAGGCAGGAGCTGGAGTCGGAGAACAAGAAACTGAAGAACGACCTGAACGAGCTGAGGAAGGCCGTCTCTGAGCGAGCGTCTCAGAACAACTCGTCCAGCGAGCTGCAGGGCAGCTACAACCTGCTGCTGAGCCAGCTGAAGGCGGCCAACGAGGAGCTGGACGCCCGCAAGGAGGAAGTCCTCATCCTGAGGACTCAGATCGTCAGCACGGCCCAGCTGATGGAGAGGAACGAGCACATCGTGAGTGTCTCTCTCAGCCTCCTGCTCCTGTTCATCTGAACTCACCTCACAGCGTGACGAGGAACCTGCGGGCTCATGGGAGATGAAGTCCTTCAGGTCATTTTATCTAAACGATGTTCTTTGTGTTTCAGCAGGAAAGTAATAACGTCCCTGAGCTGAACAGCAAAGAGCCCGTGGACAAAGAGGAGGCGCTCAGAGCCTATCATGGGCTGTGCGAGTCCAAAAAGTAAGTCCTGCACCTCCTCCCGAGAGACGGTACACGTACGTGACGCTGACAGGCTGTTGGTCAGTAGAGAGGAAACTGTGTCACATGACGCTGCAGCTTTAAGGCGCAGCCCACGAGCGGACCAATAGAAACACTGCAGCCGTGTTTGGAAAGTTATTATTCAAGACATCATCCCTCTGTCAGACCTCCAACCCTGTTTCCTGGTCATTAACCTGCATCAGACATCACATGACCTCACCTTTAGTCCAGGAATAAAACCTGTTCACTGTGTTCAAGACGTGTTTGTACTTGTTGTAGTCCTGAAGTAAAAGCTGCTGAGGGACACTGATGCTTAAAGACCAGGACCAGGTCTCTGCTGTCTAACGCTTTCTGTCTGCTCTGCTCTGCAGCCTTCCTCACCTTCTGCTTTGCTTTCTTTCCTCTGCCTGCTGGACTCCAGCACACAACAGGACTGGTGTTATTTGAATGAAGATGGAGAGCTGGGTCTGGCCTACCAGGGCCTGAAACAGGTGGCCAGGTCTCTGTTCCCTCCCTTCCTCTTGTTCTGCTGACATCCTTTCACTTTCTCCTCTTTTCCTCACTGAAATAACAGCTCACTGCTTTAACTTACGGTACCCGGGCCTGGTACCCGGGCCTGGTACCCGGGGACATGACACACTTGTGTTGCACCCAGTGTGTGAAGTACGCCCTGTCCTAATCTGCAGTCTCACAGACTTTCCATCAGTCTGAGGGAGTTTCCCACAGTGCATAGCGTTGTGACCTTAAACACGGGCTTACCAGGGGAACCACTACGAGCAAGAAGGTTTACATGCGTTGAAGAAAGCGAGTGATCTGAGGCAGCCGGTCCCTTCAGGGCCTCGGCCCGGAAGAAAGTAAACCGCTAAATAAAAAGTCCCAAACCGTACGGAACACGTTTTGGTGACTTTAAGGTTCTGTGTTGCACAAAACGTCCCTTCGCACAGTTTGAGGCCCTGGCAGCCGCAAAAAAAGAGAAATAAGTTTCCATCAGCTGGTTACAAGCCAGGCGACGGTGAGCGTAGGTCCACCAGTAGTTGCTGTAATAAACAAGACGTACGGGTTCCAAACCAGAATCAAAACCAGCTGCATGAACCTGAGGACAGCGGAGAGGGGCCCTCAGAACTTATTCGGCTAAAGTTTTTCCATCTCTCATTTAGCTTCGACAAAGGAAAACTCTAAACTTTTTTTAAATTAAATAAATTAAAGCTTGGGTTTGAGAGTTGACCTTTAATGATCTCGCAGTGTGTAAATGTTTGAAGCGGCGTGTGGAGAGGAAGCTAAAGGATCCGTCTGCTGTTGGTCTGTATTTTAGTTTCAGTCATTAAATCACGTTCTGACTTCCTGTCTGAGGCCCACCGGTTCCTCCATAAATCTTTACAAAACCACAGACATTTAGTTTCACGTTTAAAAGGCTCAGTCATTTCCTGAAAGAACCAGGAGGAAGTGGAGCGTCTGTTTCAGGTTTCAGAGGGTTTTTCACACACTGGTTGCTCACCTTAAAAGAAGTGTGTCTGTAGCGCTCGGTAACCTGCTGTGTCCTCTCAGGCTGCTGGAGGCCCAGCTGCAGTCTCAGTCCCGGCAACACAAAGACGAGCTGGAGGCTCTTCACACTCAGATCGAGCTGCTGAAAGACGACATCCTGAAGAAGCAGGAGATCCTGAACTACACCTCGTCCCTGTCCCCTGAGGCTCAGGTGGAGTACAGCATCCAGCAGGAGATCACACGGCTCACCAACGACAACCTGGTGAGGGGCTGCTGCAGACGCACTGGAGGGGGGCTAAAGTTTCACGCGGGGTCTTCATGCTGGGCTGCTGTTGTCTTGTTCGCAGGACCTCAAGGAGCTGGTGGAGAAGCTGGAGAAGAACGAGAGGAAGCTGAAGAAGCAGCTCAGGATCTACATGAAGAAGGTCCAGGAGTTAGAAGGTAAGAGGAGCTGTGAGCTCAGCAGAGTCCGGGTGATCTGGATCAGACGTGCTGACGGCGTCTCCTTCTCTGTAGTTTCTCAGGCGGACGCAGCTCAGACCAACAGGCCCAGACCTGAACTGTGCCGCCAGGTGACCGTCCAGAGGAAAGAGAAGGACTTTGAGGGGATGCTGGAGTACTACAAGGAGGACGAGGCCCGGCTGCTCAAAACTCTGATCACCGGTAAGACCCGGACTGTCACAGGTCGGGCTGTCGTCCGTCCTCGGACTAATGAGCACAGTAACAAAGAGTCCAGGTCAGTTTGTTGGACAGTTCAGGGACCTGCCGCGAAGCAAAGCTAAACAGTGAGACTAAATCCAGAGCTGCAGTCTTAGTTCACCAGGAGCTGAAGTCCTGCAGACGGAAAGTAAATCTGTCTCTCTCTCTCGCTGCCTGTTGAAGTTGTTCTCGGCAGCAGGAAGCGCCTCAGAGTTAATGTGCTGCTGTGTTTTCAGACATCAGGCCCAGCACGGTGTCGGCCACAGTCCCCTGTCTGCCTGCATACATTCTCTTCATGTGCATCCGCCACGCCGACTACGTCAACGACGACCAGAAGGTGGAGTCTCTGCTCACCTCCACCATCAACGGCATCAAGAAGGTCCTCAAGGTGAGCGTCCCCCACGCATCCACCCGTCTGATTAAAGCTACAGGCTCCGTAATTTCACTTCTAACTATCTGTTTCCATCTGCAGAAAAACGAGGACTTTGAGACGACGTCGTTCTGGCTCGCCAACACCAGCCGCCTCCTCCACTGCCTGAAGCAGTACAGCGGCGACGAGGTAGGCGGGAAACGGTCTGTACTGAGCGCGCTCCGCGTTCCGCTCCGGCTGCCGGATGATCCTGAGTCCGATGTTTTTCTGTTGTCTTCCTGTTCAGGTGTTCATGACGCAGAACTCAGCCAAACAGAACGAACACTGCCTGAAGAACTTTGACCTGACGGAGTACCGACAGGTGCTGAGCGACCTCTCCATCCAGATCTACCAGCAGCTCATCAAGGTGGCAGAAGGCATCATACAGCCCATGATCGGTGAGTAACCGTGTCCTCTGTCACAGATTACGTTTGTAGGGTTTATTAAACCAAACAGGTGAGCAGGCTGACGTGAGGGGCTCCATAAATCCAAATCCACATGTGGACAGGCAGGGACACCTGAAGCCTGACACCTGGCAGGGGGATTACCTACAGGTGAGACACGTCAGGGGCAACAGGAAACAAAGCTAGGCATGACGAACAGACACAGACAACTTCAAAATAAAACAGGAAACAGGCAGACGAAGACCAAAACGATCGTCCTTAAGTCTGACGTTGTAGGACTGACAATCTTTGTATGTGTCAGAGCTGCATCATGTGACTTTCACCCAGCTGTAAGATGTCACGATTAACTCCGCCCACACAGCATCAGGTGGAGTCGTTGACCTGCAGGAGCTCAGTGGAGGGCGGTGTCATTCCACCGGTGGGCAGCCGGGGGCGCCAACGTGCAACATCTGAGATTATTCACTCAGTTCAAGATGTTATATTTATATGAAACATGGGAAGTGAAGTTTATTAAATGACATGACAGTAAAAAGTAAAGTGTTTACAACAAATGTCAAAGCACAAGATTTAACAAAATACTAATAAACACAGAAACAGCAGCAATTTAGAAAAACACAGAAATTAAAATGAATTTAAATATTTTTCCAGTAAAGTCTGTTTTTAGGTCTTTGCTGATTCAGTGTTTGCCGGAGAGCATTGTGGGTATCGTAGTTCTTAACAGCTGTCCGGTTTTCTACACACTGACCCTTCATCGTCTCCTCGGCTCTGAGTGAGTCAGCAGGTCGCTGTTCAACCGTCGGGACTTTTCTCAGAGGATGTTTACAGAAACGGCGTCACTGCTGAGGAAGCAGCTGCTGTTCTGACTCATTTCACCATCCAATGATTCCTCAGCTGAGACTATCTCTGCATCGTGTCAGATATTGCTTCATAGATGACAAAAAAAAAAGTAGTTTGGTTTCTGTGGGCGGGAGTGACTGGCAGCTACAGCGTGCTAACTCTGCAGCCCAGCTGTGTCCTCACATCCCGTCCTCATTAGCTCGGCTCCTCACGTGCTAATAGAGACCCTCCTAAAAATACTGTGCAGTGTTCACGGGGAGGCGTTATTTTTGGACACATTTGGGCCGCGGTGTTTCTGGCACTAACCTTTCAGACCGCTTCAGGAATCGTCTCTGTGGGGGAAAGCCGGCAGCAACGCTTCCTCCAGCCCAAGGTCATGTTCAGACTGCAGGAAGAGGAGGGGCTGAGGGAGAGCGAGCGAGGGAGCGAGCGAACCTGTGAAATATGAGGTTACCTGTTTTAAATAGTGAAGCAATGGAAACTCTGATCTTCATGTCCGCACCCTCAGGCTTCAGCTCAGCGTCACTCTCTCAGACATCTGAAATATCTGATCCTTGTCTTTCTGTCTCTGCTTGTCGTGTCCAGTGTCGGCCATGTTGGAGAGCGAGAGCATCCCCAGCCTGGCGGGGGTCAAGCCGATGGGCTACAGGAACCGGTCGTCCAGCATGGACACGGACTCCGGCGGCCCCAGCAGCTACACTCTGGAGGCCCTGATCAGACAGCTGGGGCAGTTCCACAGCATCATGCGGGAACACGGCCTGGACCCCGAGATCGTGGGTCAGGTGGTCCGACAGCTCTTCCACTGCATCAACGCCGTCACCCTCAACAACCTGCTGCTGCGCAAAGACGTGTGCTCCTGGAGCACCGGCATGCAGCTCAGGTACCCCCCGGCTGAAGCGGCCAATCGCATCGCTGCCTGTCCCTTCATTAGAGACGGCAGGACATCCTGGGCTCGTGCGTGAGCTCTGAAGCGTTTCTGTTTCTGTGTTCAGGTACAACACCAGTCAGATGGAGGAGTGGCTGAGAGCAAACAACCTGTACCAGAGCAAAGCTGCAGCCACTCTGGAGCCCATCATCCAGGCCGCTCAGCTGCTGCAGGTCAAGAAGAAGACCACGCAGGACGCCGAGGCCATCTGCTCGCTCTGCAGCGCCCTCTCCACCCAACAGGTCTGCTCGCAGGACAGCAGGACAGCTGATGAACGACACACGAGACAAAGACATGGTATCGATCATTGTTGTTCTGTGTGTTGCAGATTGTGAAGATCCTGAATCTCTACACGCCGCTGAACGAGTTTGAAGAAAGAGTCACAGTTTCCTTCATCAGAAACATCCAGGTGAGACTCGGCAGGAAACCTCTCCAGCGGCCAGCAGGGGGCGACTCCAGCGGCTGCAGAAAGAAGTGTGATTGTATAGAAGTCTCTGAGAAAATGTTTCTACTTGTCAGCTGATTTATTCCCTCAGTAAACACTTTCCTGATGAGTTTGAAGCAGGGGAGGCTTTAGGGCGGGGCTACAAGCTGACTGACAAGTTGCTACCATGGCGACCTGTCAATCAGGCTAGAGGCGACTCGTATCCGCTGCTCTGTGTACGTTTAACCTGCGCTGCTGAAAAAGCTCATCAGGAGTCGGCAGCTCATTTAGTTCTGGGTCTGTTTGTCGCTAGCTAAGATTAGCATCCCAGCTAATATCACAGTCAATGTGAATTACAGATGCAACATGCTAACCAAGCTAGCTTGCTCCACCCTGTCGTCCAAATATGGTCACTTGTGGCTACGTGCGCTTCTGTCATACAGTCCGTGGGTGGTGTTCAGAGGAGGAGGGCAGGAGGAAGTGGTCTCTTCTTCTTCTGTTTTTTCAAGCATCCTTAAATGTCTGTGGTTGGTTAATGGCAGGAATGTAAAGCTTTGGTCTGGGTGAGTTTCTCAGTCTGACCTGCATGTTCATCTGTCTGTCCAGAATCGTCTCCAGGTCAGGAACGACCCTCCTCAGCTGCTGGTGGACACCAAGCAAACGTTCCCCGTCCTCTTCCCGTACACGCCCTCCGCTCTCAGCCTGGAGACGCTGCACATCCCCGCCTCGCTCGGCCTCGACTTCCTCATCAGGGTCTGACACGACGAACCGACGCTTTAACCAGCTGAACAGCAGACAATCTGAAGGGTCACATGAACCTGAGTGAACCACCTGTCCATGTCCCGTGTCCTCGCTTCATCCTTTATGCAACCCGAACATCACTGTGCCCACTGCTCTTCTTCTTCTGTTTCTGCGAGAGCCGGTGTGCGTTACAGGAGGTCTGGACTGAGGCAGGATGAAGAAGGTCAGTGAGAAGCCTGAGGACGGAGTCTCAAATCTGTGTTTCATGATCCACCAACAAAAACGAGATTTGCACTTCTGTGCAGGGACATGTGGACGTCTCAGGTGCATTTACTGTCCACAAACAGGTCCACAAACGTCTCTGCTCTAATGGAGGACTGGGGGGGGGGGGGTGACTCTGTAGTTGCAGTACTGCGAGTGACCACTGGGACAAGCTGCCATAATCCCACAATGCAATGCGCTTTCATTTTATAGATGTGACATCTGTGTGACTCTGCAGCCGTTGGTGACGAAGCAACGGGAAAGTTTCCAGCTAACGTTTGTCTGGTTTTTGCTTCGCATCGTTCAGGTTTGTTGGCGTTTGTGGACAGAAAACGCGTTTGTGAACGTGTTTCCACAAACTGCGAGCATGAGACACTTTTCTCTCCATGAAGAAGATGTTTGTGTACGACGTTATCAGCTGCATGTTAATCACTCCTGAACAGGTTTAATGAACCAAAAGAAAAAATCAGAGCGTTTCGTTTTGTCTCTTCTTATTTTGCCTTCAGAGACCTGGTCTGTGTTCAGAGCAGCGCTGTGGACGAAGTCATATCATGAATCTGTTTGTTCTTTTTAAGTTTCTGTGTGAAATCGGTCAAATTTTTTTATTCCTCCATTTTTTTTTTTCTTGTGTGATTTGTACGATTTTGTTTGTGACACCGATCAATAACTGAATACTTAATGTAAACGTCTGACGGGTGTACCGACCTGATGTCAGAGAAAAGACCTGCTGCCATGCATTACTACATTATTATACACAGTTTATATATCTATATTTGTCTTTAAACACAGTGGGTTGAACGGATGCCTGATGATTGGGGGATGATGGAAGCTTTAATTCTTAGCTGAATAATCTTTTGCACTTGTAGGAACACTAATTATTAAAACACTGTCTATAGAGTCCAAACTGTGTCCCGCTCAAAGGAAAACACATTTTTATGAAGTATAACTGTAATACAAGAAGAAGTACTCTGTGCAAAATGTTTTATCTTCTGTGTGCTGGACGTTTGATTCACTCATGATACAAATTACTACACTGAAATCTATATTTTCATACTTCTGCGTTTAAATGTACTTTAATTAGTTCTTGCAGTGAAACTGTTCAGCTGGAAACGCTGATGTAAATGTTTTGAAGCATGAAGCACAAAGTAACTTCCTGTAACATCGTCACGTCTTCTTCATCAGAATAAAATACTTTGTTTTTCCAGCAAAAGAAACTTTGTACAGATTCCTTTAAAATGTTTTTCTATGTTCAAATGAAATGAAATGATTTGCTTCTAATGGTGTTTTAACTTTTTAATGATTCTTCAAACAACAGTTTGTTAAATTCCACCAAACAGATGAAACGTCCGTTTACATCTGCAGAGATTTGATTTTATATAATAATATATCTTTTTATGTAAAACCCAGTGAGGCGTAGTGTTTGTGGACGATGGCTCATCTTGTAGTTTGTCCTGCAGAGATCAGTCCTGTGTTTAGATGAGTTGTGGTTTTATCAGTAGTGTCACCATAGTTACATTAAAACATGCTAGTATAATTAATTAAGCAGCAATAAAATTGGATATAAATGTTTTTATTAAGAGTTTATAATCAGAAAAAAGTTCCAAGGACAAAGTTGATTTCTGGTTAAAAAGATAAAACGTAAAAAGGGCCTGAAGACTTTCTCTCTAAACATGAAATAAGAAGCTGTTATCGCTCCATCAGGACTGTGAGGCTGCAGTTTGATCACATTTTGCTGCCAACATAATCAATCAGTGTCATTTCAGTGGGTCTAAATCTTTTCCCACCGGAGACGATCTCCACCCTGCAGCAGGTTTAACCACACGATGCCGCCGCTCGCATCAGCGTCACCGAAGAGACTGGAGGTATTTGTACTTCACTATAAGTATCTCCATTTAATGTGACTTTAAACTGACAGCTGCTGGTTACTGTGGAAACAAACAAGTCAGAACGCAGCTCACTCATTAATGCTGCAACGACAAGCCTCCGATAGATAATTTAACACAACTGTAGGGACACTTTGCTGGTAACACTTTAAAGGACAGGACATTTAGTATTACTTGTAGTGTTACTTCAGTATCTGAGCACTTCTCTCATCACAGTACTCGGTCATGTGATTTGCATTTCTTTAGATTTACTTTGATACAGTTTGATGCATCATTAAAGTCAAAAGTGGTAGAAATGAAACAATACTGTTAGAAGTTCTGCATTCTACATGTTACTTTAGTTAAAGTATCAAAAGTATTCATAGCGACGGCCTCTGATGTATGTGAAGTTATTAGATCATAGTGTTGATGTGTGTAAGCTGCCCTTTAACTGCTTCATACGTGTTCTGTTGGCGAGGCTGGAATATGAAGCTCCAAACATGACGAGAACCTGAGTCATTTGAAGAATAATGTGTTTGTTAATAAGAACTAATAAAGAACTTCAGGCGGCATCATCTCCTCATCCTGACACGCTGCACATCTGAAACACGTTGCCTTTAATGTTTAACATTTACCCTCTGACAGCACAGGATTATAAAATGTAAAAAGGGGAAGTAGCCAACATGTGTCCTTCTTCTTACTCTGACCACTGTTTGAAATCATTGAGTCTGAGCTCCTTCCAGTCGTGTGCCCCCCCCCCCGCTCCTGCTGCTGGGAGTCTGGAGCCCACAGACTGTGTGAACATGGCGGAGAGAGGATTCCCACAGCAGCTCTCTGTGTCAGTTGTTCCAGCTGTCTGTGGTTTACCTGTCGCTCAGGTGGCTCAGCTTCAGACGACACTGACAAAGATCTCTTTTACAGACGAGTCCTGAGTAAAGCCATCAGAGAGCCTCTGGGCTGCACATGAACTCACACTTGTAGTGTATCCTGACCTGACACTGACCTGCTGCCCAGACGCTCACGACTGCACCACATGTGGATTCATCCGCCGCTGAAAATAGTCCCCAGCAGAGGCTCTGTGTCCTCCTGTTATCTGATAGAAACTACAGCGAGCAGCTGTTGGAGGAAATTACCGAGCCTTTGAAACTTTATCTGTGAGGAGTTTTTAAAAGATTTATTTCCTCAGGAGGAACCAATGAGCTGAGAGCCACAGACAGGAAGTCAGACAGTGCTGAGAGATGCACTGACAACGACTGATTGTTGACAAGAAGAGAAATATAGACGTAAACCTGCTCAAACCTTTAAGTTCAGTTTGCACAGTTGACCGACCCTTCTTTCAGAGAGCTGGTGCACGCAGTCAGGACACATGGTCCTCTCTGAGTTCACTGAAACGCCACTTCTTTCAGTGCCTGCGGTGCAGGAGTTTCAGGAGGCCACCACAGCCCTGCCGTGCGTCAGCCAGTCACAGAGGTGTGTTCCCCACAGCCTAAATGAAACAGTCAGAGCATCTCAGCTCAGCCTGGAGCTGCTCGCACTGTTTTTAAAGGATGAAGACAAATTATGAGTCAAGGAAGAGGATGTGGTGGCAAGTAATTTCTGAACAAGTCTAACCTCTGTTTGCACAGCGTGCAACACCTTTCTACAGAAATTCACTCGCATGTCAGCAGCACAGAGCCGTCAGACACGTTGGCTGTCTGCAGGCCGACGATGTGAGGCGCAGAGTTGGGCTGAAAAAAGCACATAACAACAACTGAGGAGAAGCAGGAAGCAGTTCGTTCAGAGGGTGTACAGAGGAGACATTCATGTGGCTGTTGAAGCTCGGGCTTCAAAGACTCGCTCATTTTGGTGTGGTTCACTGAAATTCATCACCATGAGATTTCACATTGTGGTTTCATGGTATGGGTGTAGGTGTAAAGATGGGTGACATAAATAGATGTCCCATTTCTACAGCTATGTATACTATAGGATGTATATGTACTATATGTGAAGGACATCCTGAGCAGGGAGCAGCTCCACAGCATGGAGACACGTTTACTGCCTCTCAGCCAGAGAGGAAGCTGCAGGCGGATACTTATGTAGTACGCTTCACCACATTTCAGAGGGAATATGTTGTAGTTTTTGTTCCGCTGCAAGTACTTATTCACTTTAGTTTCTTTGATTTTACATGGAAACATCTGACCGAGTTACAGAATCTGACGCATCACCAAGTGAAAGGCTGATTAAAGCGTCATGTCCTCAAGCATTACAGGAGAGTGAGAGAGCTGTCAATCAACCCCAGTCTGAGCCCCCCCCCCCCAACACACAGTCCTGAGAAGTCATGAGTGAAACACCTGAGCAGGTGGACCACAGCTGCTGCGTCTAAATATTTAACACAGAAACCACAGACGTGATGCTTATCTTTCTGTCCTCTCCTGGGTCACTCTGCACTTTCACTTCAGCAGAGCTTTGAACTGACACTATTTTGACATGATGGTACTACTACTGTATTTAAGACTTGTGTTTGGTTATAACAACAATATCAAAACAGCTAAATGTACTTTTATTCTTCCCTTGTGATCTTTTTTAAAACCCAAATGTAGAAAGAAGTTGTGACTCTTCACTCTCACGAAGCTTATTAAAGTTAATAAAATAGAGAAGTGAGCAGAAATATCTTTTCTATCAGCTGTGAATAAACACGTACTGAGCCTTTTTTTTCTCGTGACAGACAGAAAGATGCTGTGTCCTGATCTCTGCAGGCCCTGAACACAACACTTAGGCTGAAAACACCCACTGAACTACAGTAAGTATTGCATAAATACAGCGTACACACGTATAGTATTGTGTATACGGTGTATAGCGTGTTGAAGCCACCAGGATCCAGAACCACAGCTCTGAGTGTAAACAGGTGGCTCATCAGATTCCCATCAGTGCCAGAGAGGGAGGCGACCAAACACTTGAAACCACAGCTGAAGATGTTTTGCGATGTTGAGTCGAGATAGGAACCTCAGGCGTGTGGTTAGCGGGGGCGGGGGTGTGCTTCTCCTCCCAGCAGAGAGAGCGGCATCCAAACTCTGAAGTCTGTTTACTGAAGCTGAGCAGGATCCTTCCTCCTCCTCCTCCTCCTCCTCCTTCATCACGTTCCAGTGAGGAACTAAGCAGTCCCAACATCTCCCCCGTGCTTCCATGATTTTCTCCACTCTGTCTCCGTCGTGCTGAAAACGCAGCGTGTTTTCAAACCACAGCCGCCGCCCACGGACGCACCCGAGAGCTCGACGCCCCACCGAGCTCTCAACCCACCGGGCCTCGTCTCCACCCACGGCTGCCTCTCACGCTCAAACATCCACATGTTCTGCAGAACGCCGTCAGCACAGGACGTGTGCAGGCTCACCGTGACCGGCTTTCTACAGATAAACGTCCTCCAAACCTTTTCACTTTGCAGGGATGTGACGACTAGAGGGGAAATCACCTTTATCACAAACAGTAGCTCCTGTGTTGCGTCCCCCAGCAGTCCCTCATTACTGTCTCGTGATCTTACAGTTCTACGTGGTTTTTTGTCCCCGGGTGAAGTGGTGCATCATTCAGACTGCTGCAGGATGAGTGTCGTGCGAAGTTCAGTCTGTGGTCCGACAAGTTGTCACGATCAGTTCAGTACAAACTTGACACATCAACACAGTAACCAGACTGTGAGCGCTACAGTTTCCACAGGCCTCAGGGGAAAGTGCCTGACATACACATAATAAATAAAACTCCTCTTGCAGAAAGGTTTACGAGTACTTTAATGGAAACTCTTCAAATAAGGAACAAAAGAATGAATGAATAGGGAAAGAGGTTTTAAATGAAGCAAGCAGGGCTCGCAGGCAGCAACACCGGGAGGCTTCCTGTCCAGCAGGTGCTCTGAATGGTCACTAATCAGCTACCAGAGTAACGGAGATTCAGCCAAACTAATGGGGAAATAAATTCAAATAGCAGAAAAAGCTACCATTGTTTGCGGTCAGCAGCTGGACTCTGTGGTCTCTCCTCACTGTAGGTTTACACTACAGACACGTCGCTGCCTCTGTGCGATCAGTTCATGCTTACTGCAGGTGGTGAGATGTTCAGGAGCAGCTCGGCTGTTAAACCGTCCAATAAGAACACAGCGCTCCACTTCACGCGCCAAACTTTATCAAAAGTAATTTATCTTCTGTTTTTTGAGTCGACATCAGAGCCAAAGATGAAGACCATGAGCTGAAAGGTCCTCGGGACTCATTTTACAGTGACCTTATTTCAGAGAACAGCCTCCGGTGGCTGTTGAGTGTGGCTCCTCTGTTTGTTCCTGCCTCGCTCAGACAGTCACTGTCTCCCAGCATGCTCTGCTTCACAGCACGAAACATTTAGTCTATTCCTGTGCCTTGAAACTACCTGAAGCACTGAGAGTAGGAAACGGTGGTAACCACGCTGAGGCCTGCTGGCTTCACGGATCCTGTGAAACTGCATGAACATGAGAGTAGAGACAGAGCAGCTGATGGGGGGCAGAAAAACAAGAGGGACCCTGTGGTACTTTCCCACAGAACACGAACCGGCTGCACAAAGAGACAGAAACACGCAAACAGGGAGATTTTGAAGCTGCTTTGCTGCAGACGGACGTTGAGTCCATCGAGTCATGTGATCCTGACAGACGCTGACAGACGTGTTGCGTCTGGTTCAGCCGAGGCCGAGCGCCTGATCGTGGAGCTCGTAGTAAACTAAACACATGTACATACTGGCCTCATTTGGAAACCAACCAGATCACTTGAGCAGACAGGAAGTGGTTTGTAGGTTACTGGTTAGAGCTCTACTTCATTTTGCTGCTCGACAGAGAGGAAGACTCATGTTCGGCTGCAGGTCTGTCTCTCAGTTCAGAGTGCACCAAATGAGATCCTGTCAGTCCGGCTCTCGCTGGCAAACATGGAAGTTTTCAGAGCAACGGAGGCTGTTAAATATCAGCTCAGACCTCAGACCTCAGCCGGTGAGGTCGACTCTGCAGGTGTTTGAACGGGGTGCACTGTCCCTGCGGCTCCTTAAATTCCAAAACCGTCCTCCCAGTTTGCCGGTTTGGACTTCAGGGCTCTCGGGACAGGACATGTCCCAGCTGTGTGTCCTATCTGAAGACAGGAAAAGTCCTGTCTTCCTGCTACAGAAACAGTTCCTAAACTCTGTGTGCTTCCTCGCTCAGACCTGGTATCTGATCTAAGATTCACTCGTCCCACCAGGCCTGTATCCGAGTGTGGGATGCACAGGAGACCGCCTGTATCCATGACAACGGCCGTCTCACCTCACTCGTCACTGGCTGGCTAGCTGCTATGATAGACAAGAAAAGACGACCGTTATATTGAAGCTCAGGATGAGTCAGAGGCTTCCTGTGGAGGAGGGAGCTTTCTTCCAAGTGTTCGACCCAAGGCAAAGTTCTGAACGTACTACATTTAAACAGAGCAGCCTTTCAGCCATAATATGTTCTTTTTGTTCCTCTTCATCACTTTAAATGCCATCCAGCCCTAACGACAGTGCTGCCGCCATCTGTGCCAGTAGGACAGGATCTGTCCTAACTCAGGACTCCTGATTCTGGTAAGTCTTCAGTCAGGATGCTGTCCTAAGATAAGACAGGGTTTCTTCTTAAATGCGGCATGGAAACATGTTTCTGTGACACCACAGATGCTTTAAGTCGTGCTAAACAGAGGTAAGACAGCATCTCAGACAGGACGTTCTGTACCGAGGCCCCAGGAGCACTTAAACAGGAAAAAAATAGAAGCAGAGATAAAGAGGAATCATCGAGCTTGCAGACTGTGATGTCTGAACGAGCTGCTCATAAAGTAGTTATCTAACATTTTCCACCTCCAGCAGCTACAGAGCAACACCATGAGCAGACCGGTTAGTGTCACCTGATGGATATCTGTCTCTGTAGCTGCTGAGTGCGAGCCGGGCGTGTTCATTAGAGCCCATTAGAAAGTGAACCGGGCAGGAAATGTGCTGCGAACCCAGAACTACCAGCCAAAAGAGGCTAAAAGTCCACAGAGCTGCAGAGAGATCTGGTCTGGGACCAGCAGAGACTAACCTCTTTGATTTAACACTGATCAGTGTAGCTTTAAGTCTGCTAACATTAGCCTCCGTGAGCTACTGGTCAAACCGGACCAAGAGAGTGACCTGACCTGAGAAACAGCTTTGTTGCCTGAGAGTTCAAGAGTCAAAAGTTACAGTCTTCAGAATCAGAAACGGTTTTATTGCCAAGGGTGCCAGACACAAACATTTCTCTATGTGAAATAGATAAAAACATGCAGTGTGGCAGATATTTACATGTGCAATTTTCTCTTCAAAGGGGAATTAAAGACTAAATTTGACACCAGATTCTGATTTAGTTTTAGAGCTCACTCTGAGTGATTTACAGAGATTTACAACCCTAACCGTCGTCAGTCCCTCAGTCCCTCAGAGACTCAGAGACTCAGAGACTCAGAGGAAAGCAGCTTACATGTCAGGACTCTTGACATTTACACACTCAAAATGTTGGACAGAAAATGTGTCGTCAGCTTTTTAGTCAGAGTGTCTTGCACATGAACACTGTAATCACACCCAAATACAGACTATAGAGGCAGGCAGGGACAGTTCAGACACAAGCTGTCAGGCACTGGTGTCCACACTGTCCCACACAGTCCCACACTGTCCCACACTGTCCCACACTGTCCACACAGTCCCACACTGTCCCACACTGTCCCACACTGTCCACACTGTCCCCCACTGTCCACACTGTCCCCCACTGTCCCACACAATCCCACACTGTCCACACTGTCCACACTGTCTCACACAGTCCCACGCTGTCCCACACTGTCCCACACTGTCCCACACTGTCCCCCACTGTCCACACAGTCCCACACTGTCCACACAATCCCACACTGTCCACACTGTCTCACACAGTCCCACGCTGTCCCACACTGTCCCCCACTGTCCCACACTGTCCACACAATCCCACACTGTCCACACTGTCTCACACAGTCCCACGCTGTCCCACACTGTCCCACACTGTCCCACACTGTCCCACACTGTCGATGTCGATGTTCACATAAAAAGGTGACAGAAACAGTTGAAGACTGAAAACAGATTTGCTCCTAATTAGAAGATTCCCAACTGTAATCTGAAGAGTGTTATGTTGTTTGAGGTTAATGTGTGTTTACAGTGAAGGATCTTTTCTCCATCAGCCTTTACTCTGCTCTGTATTCAGCACTGACGGAGTTAACTGTCCAATAAGTCATCTCCTCTGCACAGAACCTGCCGTCTGCTGAACAAAGATGTTTTCTGATTTACAGAACATCCTGTGAACAAATCAACCAACCCAGCAGCCCCCCCCTCCCCCCTTCCTCTGCACGCTCGCCACTCCTTCTTCCTCTCTCCCTGCCAGAAAAGCTCTCAGCTGGTGGGACGGCAGCATTATGAATCTGCAGAGGACCGAGCGAGTTCACCTCTGCAGCTGTGAGGAGCCTCTGTGAGGTGATGGCGTTTGGCTGGGGGGCCGCCGTGCTGCTGCTGCTGCTGCCGGCTGCAGCTCAGGCTCAGAGCGGAGACGGAGTCACTGACACGGGTGAGGAGGTCATTTAAACTCTCCAGCACAGGCTTAATATGCATAGGACAAGAACATGGCATTTCTTGCTCATGGTAATTTAGTGACACTAATATTATTATTTATTATAAATGACACTTATAAATAAATACATATATTTTTCATAGCTCGTAATGAGGTTCTCAGAATATCCAAACAGAGCATTAAATGTCACGTTTGGTCCTTTGCATTGTGCCATTAGTGATGCAACAATATATCTGAGAGGAATTATTACACATTAGTACAGAGCCAGAGGGTTGCCAGTTCAGATTCTTTGTGCTTTTATTTCTTCACGGCTACTTTTCTTTTAAGCGTCAGCTGAAAACAGAGTCAGAATAAAGGTCTTTGAAAACACATCGCAGGAGATCTTATCATGTGAGCGGCAGTGTATCAGATTGTGAGGAAGGTGGAAGCAGAAAGGTCAACCTGTTCACCTGTGGGAGTTCATGATGTCACACCAGGCAGAAATCGAGCCCAACACCTTCTTACTCTGGGGAGACGGGGCTGACCACTGCTGCCACAACGCAACTGAAAACTAAAGGGGACAGAGTGTTTACAGTCAGGGGCCCCAAGGCTCGGAAACAACCTGCCTGAGGAAATCAGGTCGGCTGAGTGACTGAACTCCTTTAAGTCTCTTCTTAACACAAACTTTTATAGGACAGACTTTTAATTCCTCAAACATGTTTTCATATTTTATCTGTTTTACCTTAAAACCTGATGGTTTTAAGACCTGCATGTTTTTACTGTCTGCTCCTCTGAAAGCACTTCATAATATGGATTTTGAAAAGTGCTCTCTAAATAAAGATGATGATTAGCATGATTATGTCTGCCATCCAGAGCTAAAACATTCATATTCATTTTTTTCTTTCAGACTTTATTTACTGTAAAGGGTCACTCTGATTTTTCACACATAAGAATCATAAAATAATCCACATAGTTTTTATCTATTTAAGTGTTTCTAACATTAATCTTTAAAACCCTTTAATATAAACTAAATTAAAACTAAATGTGTAGTTGTTGTTATGGTTTTGAAGTTGCAACATTCTTAAAGAGAGACTCTGTGAATTTTACTGTGATTTTCCACCTCAGCGTGTTTCAGGTGTTACCAGGTGTTGGGGAGTACTCCTGCATATGTTTTACAGTACTATAAAGATTTTAGTGTCTCCAAATGGAGCTGTGTGAAGTATGATAAATGTCCTCAAGTGATGTCACGAGATGGCGTCTGTTGGAGACTACAAGTCTGAAAATTAAAGAATCTGTTGGTTTGGACTTAGAAAGAAGTGAGCTCACAGACCTCTGTGGCTGCTGTTTATTCAATTCTATTCAATTTTATCTCTGCAGTAACTGCTAATAGTAGTAATAACACACCCCAGTCTCACACAGCATAGGAGAGTCATAGAGTCATAGTCAGAGTTGCAATGAGCGTAATGTAGGCGCCAGGTTTGGACAAGGAACAATGTGTGAAAAAGACATGTTTGGTTCTGATGCATGGATTTAAATAGTTACCTTTGAGTGACCCAAACCTTTTTTTGCTGAATTTGGTAACTTAATTTCTTGCGGTGTACCTCAAGGTTCGATTCTGGGCCCCACTCGTTTGTTTGCAGATTTTTACGCAGATGATGCACAGTTATATCTTCTCCATACGGTTATTCAGCCTCGGTTTTATCTCTGAAATTAAACCATTTCTGTCAGCTGTTGACCCCGACAAAGTTATTTGTGCTTTTATTTAATCCAGTTTGGATTATTGTATCTCCATATTCTACACTCTTTGCAATTAGTCCAACATGCAGCTGCTTGGCTTTTAACTGGACCCACGACAGGAGAACACCTCATTTAAATTTGAATGGCCCTTCATTGGTGTACCATTGCTTCCAGAGTGCAGTTTTCTGATTCTAATAAAGCTCCTCTTGCCTTCCTGTGTCTACATTTGCAGCCACAGGTGACCACGGATTAACTGTCATGGCACCTAAACAGTGGAATAGATCACAATCTGCACCGCTGCTCCTACACATCCTTTTAAACTGGCTTTTATACCTCATGGACAATATTATTATTTATCTGGTTTAACTTTTTTCTATAAAATAATTGTGTTGCTTCTAGTGTCTTTTGTTAAAACACTTTCTAACCATGTTAGGAAAAGTACTGTATGAATAGTTTGTTACTTAATTTAAAACTGTCCATTGTGAGTAAAAGTGTTAGAAGAGAGTGATGCTAAATCTCTGTACTCAAGTGTTTCTAATGAGCGATCTGACTCTGTTTCCTATCAGAGCCCAGAATTCGCTGCACCTCCGACCTCATGAGGGATGGAAGCACTCTGACCTGTAAACTGATCGGAGGCATCGAGGATGATGACGATGAGGCTGGTGACATAGAGAAGATGACAGTGTGGTAAAACATTCAATCATTCATTCTTGGATCATAAATGACTCATCAACAGCATTCAGAGGAGACTCAGATAATGACAGAAATCTCTGCTCTTACACAGTTACGAGGACAATTTGTCACAGCGGAAAATCTGTTTGGAGGATTTCGGGGACACGGTCACCTCCACAGACCTGAGATATACGGTTGTTTACAATGTGACTGTCCACCTAAAGAGAGGAGGCAAGATCAAAACTACAGTCTACACAAACAAAATAGGTAAATCAGTATGATAATTCAGCTGTTCTCACAGATACACCAGCAGTGGAGTTTGTCTTGAGGCTGCCCACAATGTCCTGACATCTACCAAGAATGTCAGTCAGTGGTACTAAAATGCTCCCTCTGTCCTGCACCAGCAATACTAAAACACATCCTAGTGGGCTGTAAGCCCAGCCTCACTCAAGCCTGTGTCTTACATCAGTGCTGGAAAGTCAGCGGACAAGCGTCAATGCCCTTCCTACACCCTCATCCAGCTGATCTGGGGGGTCAAAAATCATTAAATCAAGACCAGATACTGGGCAGCTGATTGGAAGATGGTGGCAGACATAGAGGCTTTGCTTCCAGCTGTTATCGCTTCACCCAGTCTCAGACCAGACCTTGTGCTGCGGTTTCCTCTTTCCATCTTGTCTACATTACTGAGCTAACATTGCCCAGCAAGGATGCAGTGGTACAGTCAGCTTGCACAATGCTCAACAACGTGGCTGGAAAGTGAAGGTCCAACAGGTTTAGGTAGGCTGCAGAGGATTCGTAGCCACATCGAGGCCCAAAGGCAAGCAAGCAGCTTGGCTCTGGATGAAAAGAAAAGAGGAAAGGGGGCACTCTGACCATCCTCCTGAGTCACAGCAGCGGGACTAAGGAGTACAATCAAGGGATAAGGACACCTAGTCCTACAGGACAGGTGTGAGGCTGATGCTTGGTAATAAAGGATGTTTTATTTTGGGAGATCTCATAAGAAGAGAAATGATGTGTGAGGTGCTGATATTTTGGCCTGGTGTAGTACAAGGGGAAACGTCAGCGGTTCATCTAAATTGTCCAGATTTAACTCTGGAAAGGTGACTTGATTTATTAGTCTCTTATCAAGTCTGAGCTGACAACATGGCCAAAGAAATCTGTTAATGTTGCTCATACTGTGGCCACGTTCCTTTCTGCTTCGGTCCAGATCAAATGATCCGGACTACAGGGATTAAAGCACAGTATACCTGCTGCTGCCACCCTCATTGTTGTCTTTTGGTTCTCTGTCCCTGCAGTTAAACCGAAAAGTCCTCAGGTGTGGAACGTTACTTTCATCCAGGAGACTAACCAGGCTGTCATTAACATTCGGATTCCGTACAAGGAAGACTACCTGAAAATAGAAAATCAACTCTTCCAGCTGCACATCTGGACCGCGGGCAGCATGGAAATGGTAACGTCACGTGATTTGTGTTGCTTCAGTTATTATTTCTACCTTTGAGAATGTCCAGCAATGACTGAATTGCTTCCTGGTTTTCCTGTTTGAGCACAGATTCAAAACGTCTCATCAGACAGTGTGATTATTGATTTGGAGCACCTGCAAAGAAACGCCGAGCATCATGTCCAAGTGCGAGCGATACCTAACAAACATCTGCAAGGTACCTGGAGCGAGTGGAGTGAACCGGTCACTTTCTTTACTCCTGCTGGTAAGAGCGAGTCAGGGTGTGCACAGTCTGCTTCTTTAAAAGGCATTAGAGAATAACGATTTTAACTCTGTCCTCTCCAGTCCAAACACCGACAGATGACAGGCGGGAGATGTACACCCTGATTTTGTGTCTCGTCCCTTTTGTGGTGGTGACTTCCAGTGTTGTTTTCTTCTGGAAAAACAAGTACGACATCTCTGCTTTCTTGTAAGACAATCAGTGAATTTAGACGTCTTTCGCATGTTAATATTTCTTTTCTCCTTCAGAGCCTACGTGTGGCCGAACATCCCGCATCCTAAACACACACTGGTGCAGATCTGCAAGCCAAATAAAGTGAGTCGTTTTACTTTGAGACTGTCCTCCCAGCAAAAGCAGCGTCCTAGAGGTTTCTCTCAGTACTGTTCATTCTGTTCTCAGGATTGATCATTTAAACAACTGAGTCCCCGAAGCTAACTTGCCATGGCGTTTTCCTGGTTGCTTGCTAACAGCTGTATCATAAATAATGTCCTCCTGTCTCCTGACACTCGGAGCTCAGCTCTGTCCGGAAGATATGATCTTGGTCAACAATGCAAACTTGCATGTTAAAGTAGAAGTTGAGTGGATTTACTAGCAACCAAACTTTAACCTCAGCGATGTTGTGGACGCTTTTTAATATACAGATGATGGTCTTTCTAAACGGGGCGCCAGATCCCAAAACACTTGTGTTGTTCTGTGTTTACTTTAAATGCAACTTCAATACAACATTAGTGACTGATTGCCCGTACTATGTTCACCAAACAGGGTCTCCTATTGAACTTCAAACCTGAGGTGTTCAGCGCCCTTAAAGTCAACCCCACGGAAAAAACTGACGAGCAGTCGAGTGATGAAGCAGAACCTTCGGTGCCTGCTGCTGCTGCTGCTGCTGACGGTACACAGTCGAATCACGCCTGCTCCACCCAGAGCTCTGACTGCTCACGGAGCACCACCAGTGTCAGCACAGAGGAGCTGGAGCTCTCCGCCCTGCTGAGCAGGAGCTCCTCCGAAGGGGAGGACAGCCTCGAGAGCACCAGCCCGTCCCCCATCAACGCCCTCCAGCTCGGGGAGAGTCCTGACACACCGCAGCCTGAGCGCAGCAGAGGACGCGAGGCTGAGCCTTACGTCACCATGTCCAGCTTCTATCAGATAAAGTAGGTCAGGGTGAGGACGGACGGTGACGGACAGACAGACAGACGGATAGGACCAGCATATTTATCAAGTTTGTATGAATTACACTTCAGAGTGCTCTAAAGCAGTGTCTCCCAGCCTGGAGACCAGGACCCCTCATGTCAAGTCGCAAGATAAATCCAAGGCTTTAATAAGAAAACATCTTTAATTAATTAATTAAATCATTTTTATTAGCAGCATGGCCCTGTGGCAGACTGACAAATCTCAATAACTATGTGATGGATTTAAGAAGTTTTAAATCCAAGGATTTAGCATCTTTAGTTTAAATTTTAAATGACCACATTTAACATCTCTGGTAGCATTTAAATGGCACTTCCATAACGTTGAGGGACTTATAGAAACATTTAAAAAAGAATGGGTGAAGTCTGCGCACACAAATTTTGTTAAATAGCTTTTGTTCTCATTTCTGCAAGTAAACGTGGAAGATTTTTACTTTTATCTTTCACTTGAGTCCCGAATGTAACTTGTAGCAGTTAGATGAATCTGGGTTATTGACCCAGAGGGTTTGAAATGTAGCTTTTTATATATATTTTCTTTATATTCAGTATTATTTTACATGATCTCATTGATATATTGTATGATGACATACCTCCTCATACAGTCATCTGATGTTGTCCATAGTTGGTTGTTGGAGGAACCTTAGAAGATCCTACCAGTGTTTCTGCATGTTTTACAATGGTCTGTTAAGCTTTTAGTCAGGTCCACTGTGGGGAATTACCCATCGCAAGTCTACCAAGTTTCAAACCACAGTGAATACATTGATTCTGTTGGCTGCCTGGAAGGTAGTCTCACAACTTACAGCATGCTTAGGATTCATACAGATGGGTGACAAATGATAAAGTGTTGGCGAGGTGTTTTTCCACCAAGAGTTTCCAGAACAGCTTCAGTTCTTCATGTCATACATGCTCTAAGTCTCAACCGGAGGGATGAACGCAATTCTTCTGAAAGTTGTCACCTCGAATTAATGATGGTGGTTGATTAATGATCACGCCACCCCCAACTGATGGTCAGCCTCTTCAAGAACGACCAGAAGCACCTAAAGGACAAGTATAACATCTTAACTACAACCCCCTAAATAACCACTAGAACCACCTACAGGATTCCTAAAACCTCCTCAATGACCTTAACAACCACCTAACAGACCACAAGAACCATCTAAATGACACGGAGGACCTCTGAGACAACAACTAGAACCCTCTAAAGGACCACAAGAACCACCTTAATGATCCCTAGAACCTCCTCGGTAACTAGAACCACCTAAAGGACCTGCAGACCTTCCTATTACTACACACAGGACTACCAAAACATCCTTGGTGACCACTAGATCAACTAAAGGACACCTAGAACCTCTTCATGACCCCTACGCTTTATGTTGAATAAATTACAGATAAATTAAACCACTAAAATCACCTACAGGATCTCTAGAATAGTGACCTTAACAACCACCTAACAGACCACGAGAACCATCAAAAAGATATGGAGGACCCCCGTGATAACAACCAGAACCCTCTAAAGGACCACAAGAACCACCTTAATGATCTCTAGAACCTCCTCAGGAACTACAACCACCTTAAGGACAACTAGAACCACCTAAAGGGCCTCTAGACCATCCTGTAACTACACAGAGGACTACTAGAACCTCCTCTGTGACCACTTGAACTACCTACAGAACCCCTAGAACCCATCTTTTCTCTAATAATGTAAAAAATGAATGAGAGATATAAGTCTGTGTTCCAGTGCTGGTTGTTCTGCATTCAGTAACGTTTCATTCATTCAGGGTTTCCTTTAAATTTGTCACCTGTCTGCATAAAGATGTAGCACCATTCTTTCAGGAGCTAAAACATACACAAACACCAGTGAGGTCTATAAACGAACGCTGCTCGTATCTGCACTTAAACTGTTAGAGAACTAAAACTCCTGCTGTGCGTGTTCATCATGCAGGTGGGACAGGCTCATTCTCACGCGGCACTCTGCCCACACCTCCACCTACCAGCGGCCCTGAACGCCAGTACATGTCATTAGGATCACACTGAGCGGTCTGCAGGTGAGATGTGGGTGTGTTGCTGCAGCAACCTGACCCGATTGTTTGCGGAGACGCCAAACACAATGCTGCTTCTTAATATATCTAACACAACCTACACCTCATGTTTCCTTACAGCAAAGGCTGACGTAGATATGCAGAATGTACGCTTTAATTTCAGAATGAAGAAATCTGATTGTAATATTTCTCTCCAGATTCAACTGTACTAAATATTCTGTATATACTTTATGGGAATGACTGATTGTACCTGTTACGACGACCAATGTTTTTTATTTAAATAAAGCCTGTTGCATATCAACGTACAATAAAAGAGACAGAACTGTTGTCATTACATCATGTTTACGTGTACATCAGGAGAATCAGCTAAATGATCAGAGCCCCTCTCTAAACTACATTCATTTATAGAAATGACTAACTTGTAAAAGCACAAACAGCTGGATCTTATAAACTTAACAAAAAGGTAATTAATTATTAATGCGTCCTGAGGCCACGTGGGGCTCCTTCCACACAGTTACTGATAGTTTGGAGTTCATGTGCTTCGATTGCATTCAGAGCTTCCAGGCGTTTTTCATCATTAGAATAAAGTAGACATCGCTGTCGATGGAGGCGCTGACTCCACTGTAGTAGTTGAGAAACTCCTCTTTGGTCACCTGTTGATCAGAAGACAGATTTCACTGTTGAGTCGCAGCACGACGCCGGTCAGAATCAGACCAGATGAAGAGACAGAAGAGTTTTACTACGAACCAGAGAAAAGGTCAGTTTATAAATCAGACAGCAGCTGATTTCCATCCAAATGAGCACGAAGTCGAGTCACTTTAATTTATTTAACCAAACTACCAATTACAAATCACACAGGCGGATCGGTGCAGCACAGAACATCTCCTATTGTTAGACTTTAACATTAAAGATGTAACTACAGACCTCCTGCACAGGGACGACATGAGGTTAAACAGCCACCACTTCATTTGGAAAAAGAGTGAATCTAAAGCTGTCGCTGAGTTAAACCTCCAGAAACTGTGTGTCTGATAAATATCAGTCAAAATAAAAGACAGATATTTTGGCAGAAAATGTAAAATGAGCTTCACATTTGGATGGAAACAGCGAGCGAGGCTGTTTGTTCACAGAAGAGCATGATTTGGGTTTTATTAAAGAACAGTGAAAAAGCCAGAGCCGGTCATCCTGCTGGCAGAGAGACACCAGCCTACTGATGTTCGTATCCTGTATGGTTCTTTAAACCCAATTATTCATTCTGACATGCTGAGTATGTCTTCTTCTCTTTGTGGTGCATTTAAAAAACCATACAATATACTGCAGAATGTTCCCAGGTTGCATGAAGTTACTTTTCTAAAATAGGAAACAGCAGGGAGTGGAAACCTCTCCGCCCTCCTCCCACCACCCTGAGCTCCTTTACCAGCACGACGCTAAGTCAGATTTTCCAGGCATTTCTCATCATCACTATAAAGTAGACGTCTGTGTCGATGGACGCGCTCACACCGGCGTAATAATTCATAAACTCCTCCTGGGTCACCTTCAGAGAGGAACACCGGCATGAACACACATATCAATCATTACAACCTCGTTAGGGCACAGAAAATGTCTGAGGGCGACGACGTTTCTTCTGACCTGCAGAGACAGAAACTCGTCACCCACCAGGCGTTTCTTACCTTTCCATCTTTGTCATACGGAGAGTCAAAGCTGTCCAGGAACGTCCTGAAGACCTGATCCTCTGTCCACTCCCCGTTCTGATACTTGGGGTGGTACTTGGCGTTATAAACCCCGCGCAGGTCTTCGATGGTGATCACGCCGTCCCCGGTCTTATCCAGCTTCCGGAACGCCTGCATCACCACCTCCTTCCTGGCAGCTGACATCTGCGGCTGCAACGGACGGCGGGAGTAAAGAACCCTGAAACGACCCTCAGCCCATCGGCGGGCGCTCCGCGTACTTACCCTCAGAGTGATGAGAAACTCGTCGAAGTCGATGGTCCCGCTGCCGTCGCGGTCGAAGATCTGAAAGAGAGCCGTGGCCTCTTGTTTCTCGATCAGGATCCCGTAGTCGTTCAGACCCTTCAGAAACTCCTTCAGGTCCAGGGTGCGGTTGTTGTCATCGTCCATTATCTTGAAGGTTCTGACAAACACAGAGCAGCATGAGGTCATTTCCTGTTTCTTCACAAACAGCACTGATGTGCCGGGAAGATAACACACTGTCAAACTACTGCAATACAAGTGAGTAAACTGCATTCAACCGTTCATATCAGTAACAGTACACAAGTATTATCAGAGGAAAGTTCGATTCAACATTATTTGTTATGTGATTGCACAGAGTGAGGCAGCAGAACCGTCACAGTATTCTCTCCTGTGATCATCACTGATGCATCAACAGGTAAACAACATGTTGCTGTTGTTTTCTGCACCACAGCCTGTAAGAGCATCACGTGTTTTGGTTTTAGATTCTTGCAGAGTAACCACTGACTCCAGTAGTACTCCAGCTCCAGCAGTAGTATCTGTGACAGTATCTGTGCAGGTAGATGCAGCAACATCAGCAAACAAAACCACAAATCAGCAACAACACAATATTGTGACAATAAACCAAACCGAGCACAACATCCTGCAGCCTGTTAACCCTCACAGTGCCGAGCCTGCAGCGCTCGCAGGGAAACAGCAGCCTCAGCAAGTACACGCAGTACTGTACTGTACACACAGAGTACTGTACTGTACACACAGAGTACTGTACTGTACACGCAGTACTGTACTGTACACACAGAGTACTGTACTGTACACACAGAGTACTGTACTGTACACACAGAGTACTGTACTGTACTGCATGTTACTGACAGTACACACAGAGTACTGTACTGTACACACAGAGTACTGTACTGTACTGCATGTTACTGACAGTACACACAGAGTACTGTACTGTACACACAGAGTACAGTACTGTACACGCAGAGTACTGTACTGTACACACAGAGTACAGTACTGTACACACAGAGTACTGTACTGTACACACAGAGTACTGTACTGTACTGCATGTTACTGACAGTACACACAGAGTACTGTACTGTACACACGCAGTACTGTACTGTACACACAGAGTACTGTACTGTACACACAGAGTACTGTACTGTACTGCATGTTACTGACAGTACACACAGTACAGTACTGTACACACAGAGTACTGTACTGTACACACGCAGTACTGTACTGTACACACAGTACTGTACTGTACACACAGAGTACTGTACTGTACTGCATGTTACTGACAGTACACACACAGTACAGTACTGTACACACAGAGTACTGTACTGTACACACAGAGTACTGTACTGTACTGCACACACAGTACTGTACTGTACTGCGTGTTACTGACAGTACACACAGAGTACTGTACTGTACTGCACACACAGTACTGTACTGTACTGCGTGTTACTGACAGTACACACAGAGTACTGTACTGTACACACAGAGTACAGTACTGTACACACGCAGTACTGTACTGTACACACAGAGTACTGTACTGTACTGCATGTTACTGACAGTACACACACAGTACAGTACTGTACACACAGAGTACTGTACTGTACACACAGTACTGTACTGTACACGCAGTACTGTACTGTACACACAGAGTACTGTACTGTACTGCATGTTACTGACAGTACACACACAGTACAGTACTGTACACACAGAGTACTGTACTGTACACACAGAGTACTGTACTGTACTGCACACACAGTACTGTACTGTACTGCGTGTTACTGACAGTACACACAGAGTACTGTACTGTACTGCACACAGAGTACTGTACTGTACTGCATGTTACTGACAGTACACACAGAGTACTGTACTGTACACACAGAGTACAGTACTGTACACACAGAGTACTGTACTGTACACGCAGAGTACTGTACTGTACACGCAGAGTACAGTACTGTACACACGCAGTACTGTACTGTACACGCAGAGTACTGTACTGTACACGCAGAGTACAGTACTGTACACACGCAGTACTGTACTGTACACGCAGAGTACTGTACTGTACACACAGAGTACTGTACTGTACACACGCAGTACTGTACTGTACACACAGTACTGTACTGTACACACAGAGTACTGTACTGTACTGCATGTTACTGACAGTACACACACAGTACAGTACTGTACACACAGAGTACTGTACTGTACTGCGTGTTACTGACAGTACACACAAAGTACTGTACTGTCAGTACAGTACACACAGAGTACTGTACACACAGAGTACTGTACTGTACACACAGAGTACTGTACTGTACTACGTGTTACTGACAGTACACACGCAGTACTGTACTGTACACACAGAGTACTGTACTGTACACACAGAGTACTGTACTGTACTACATGTTACTGACAGTACACACAGAGTACTGTACTGTACACACAGAGTACAGTACTGTACACACAGAGTACAGTACATGTTACTGACAGTACACACAGAGTACTGTACTGTACACACAGAGTACAGTACTGTACACACAGAGTACTGTACTGTACTACATGTTACTGACAGTACACACAGAGTACTGTACTGTACACACAGAGTACAGTACATGTTACTGACAGTACACACAGAGTACTGTACTGTACACACAGAGTACAGTACTGTACACACAGAGTACTGTACTGTACTACATGTTACTGACAGTACACACAGAGTACTGTACTGTACACACAGAGTACTGTACATGTTACTGACAGTACACACACAGTACTGTACTGTACACACAGAGTACTGTACTGTACACACAGAGTACTGTACTGTACTGCATGTTACTGACAGTACACACACAGTACAGTACTGTACACACAGAGTACTGTACTGTACACACAGAGTACTGTACTGTACACACAGAGTACTGTACTGTACACACAGAGTACTGTACTGTACTGCGTGTTACTGACAGTACACACACAGTACTGTACTGTACACACAGAGTACTGTACTGTACTGCGTGTTACTGACAGTACACACAGAGTACTGTACTGTACACACGCAGTACTGTACTGTACACACACAGTACTGTACTGTACACACAGAGTACTGTACTGTACTGCATGTTACTGACAGTACACACACAGTACTGTACTGTACACTGTACTCCGTGTTACTGACAGTACACACGCAGTACTGTACTGTACACACAGAGTACTGTACTGTACACACAGAGTACTGTACTGTACTGCATGTTACTGACAGTACACACAGAGTACTGTACTGTACACACAGAGTACTGTACTGTACACACAGAGTACTGTACTGTACTACGTGTTACTGACAGTAC